CCTGCGAGTCAGAGAGAAACATAGGCTATCTCGCTCTTCTACGATCGTTACAATCGTAGAAGCGTGAGATACTCTTATGGCCAGTCTCTGATTACAGGGCCTCTAGCCTGTTCCATATTCTACTGTGCGTCGATGTACGGTTTCTGGTAAGTTGGAATTTAGTTACTTTTGTTGCCTGTGTTACTCCCCATTCCTATTGCCTGTGCTTTCCTATTATGTGATAGGCGAAACAATCCCTTCTGAGACTCAGGCGTGAACTCGAACTGAAGAGTGAAAATTTTCATTGACAAATCCGCTAATGAAATTTTTCGCTTCTCACGAGTTCACGCTAGAGAAAAAGATTCACGATCGAGCCCCTGATTTACAACCGCGGCAGATAACGCCGTTCCCCTCCTCCAATTATCTCCATATGTTTGTACTCGCGATAGCGCCGCCGACACACCTAGGAACCGGGAATTTCGGATGACAATACCGAATGGGGATGAGCCTGAGTGCATCGCGAGAGATACGGGGAAAAAGAGTAGGAGGGGAGGGAGGGTCTAGGGAATTGGGGATAAGGGACGAGGCGTCCGGTCTTGGCGTCCGACGAGCAACGCTCGTCTCACCCCGTGGCGGTGCCAGAAGAAGTATTCTTGCATTGGCCGCCGCCGCCGCCGTCGTCGTCGGCATCATCGCCGCCGCCGTCGCCGCCGTCGCCATCGCCGCCGTCGCCGCCGCCGCCGCCGTCTTCGTCGTCGTCGTCGGTCGGCCCGGTGGCGGCGGCGACGACGTCAGCGACGCCGCTCCACGCTTGGCGTCGAGGTTAGCGCCGGCCGGTCGCTCGAATCGGCGCCTGGCTGTCTCTTTCTCTCTGTCCCTCTCCCTCTCCCTCTCTCTTTCTCTCTTTTGTTTGTCTGCAGCCGGCAGAGAGCAGCCGTCGTTTCGTCGTCGTCGTCGTTCGTTCGACGGCGACGACGTGGCTCTGCCAGCCGGCTGTCGCCGTCGCCATCCGCGGCGGTCTTCCCCTCCATCCCTCCTCCTCCTCCTCCTCCTCCTTCTCCTCGGAGTCCAGCCCTTCGCTCGCGTTTCGGGTCCCGTGCCCGCTTGCCCGATCTATTTCGCGGCATGGATGGCGTTTAGGTAATGAAGCGACGCCGCCGTCGCGAAAAATCGCTCTCGCGTTCAACGCCGGCCCGGGCCGCGCGACGGGCGGCCGCGGTGCCGTCGTTAGCGAGCGTTGAAATTACCGCCGCGCCGGTGCGTCGCCTGCGCGGTCTCCGGCGAGCAGTCCGTTCATATTCATCGCACCGTTTCGCGATTCGTATTAATTAATCCGTTATTAAGCGCGACGAGTCGCATTGCCGCGTTTAGCGAGTGAATCTATGCGCGCGCGCGCGCGCGTTTCTCGAAGTTTAAAAAGTATCGACGCGTTAGCGATCGCACACATATACTGTCGTTTTTCAGAGAGCCCCCTGGCTGTTTACCAGTTCTCTGAATATTTCCTGGACGTTTCTTGCGAAACGAGGGAGTCTCGTTGTCTTCGCCGATTATATAAACTTCGCGAACGGTCTTGGGGAAATGCTTGATCATATTGCGCACAATTTTCGTATCTTAGGTATTCATAGTCAAATCATATATTCAAGACCGTCTTAAGATTATCTTTAGATGCTCCATAGCCAATGAAGTGTTCCACACGGCACCTTTAGATAAATTCAAGACGGTCTTGAATATAAGATCCGACTATGAATACCGGCCTTAGGGCCGGTTATTTCAATCTTTCAGTAAATTAACTAACAGTTAAATCGCGCGTATGTCTTTGCTTTTCCTTCGAATTCAACAAGGACATGCAGACATATAATTTAACTATTAGTTAGTTTGCCAAGTTTGTTAGGCCCGCGCGGTTTCACCAAACGTCGTTTAACTGTAATCTTAGTTTAATTCACGTTTGTGTCTTTCTAAAGTAACAGTTAAGCTAGCGCCACACTATGCGTGATTCGTATATTCGTGAATAGTGTGGAGGAAAAATTGGTCGAGTCGCCATTCGCAGTGATACATTAGCCAAGCGGTTTTTTTTTACGAGAATAGTGGGTTTTTGACTAATATTGAAACTTGACTAATTGTAGACTTACGATACGAGTCCTGTAGCAACATGGAAACTCAAAAGTTGTCGAAATTAACACGAACGAAACGACAAATAACGATAAACTGCGAATCGCGAATAGTGTGGTAAGTAATGACGAATGTCCAACGAACTTCTGCGAATCATGAATCACGAATTGCGCATAGTGTGGCGCTAGCTTTAGAAGGAGACAAAGAACGAATTAAGCTAAACTTAAAGTTAAGTGAAACTGTGAAACCAGGCCTAAATAAAATCAACGTATCTCTCGAAGACCCTCGATCAAATTTCGATCGAGGGTCGTGAAATTTCGTTGGAGCGCCACGGGTCTGCAGGCACTTTTGTGAGATACTTTTATTCTCCGCTCGCTCTCTGTCGAGACGACGGAGACTCGATCGGGCCCCGCGGCGAAATTCCGAGGCCCCATCGTCATAACAAACAAGGCATCAATCCGGTAACTGACGCTACGGCGCGCGCGCCGCAACTCGTTCGCGTAATTAGATCACGATCCTGCGGCGCGTAACCGAAACCAAACGCGGATCGTTTCGTAGCTGAGGGCCAGCCGCGTAATGGGACTCGGCCGAGCCGACGTGATTCGTGAGTCCGGGCGAAGGGCTCGTCCCCTCCCGATTGCCGTTCGCCGATCGTCTCCCATCATCATATCGGCCCTCGGAAACTATCGGGGCTGCGTTTTATGAAAGGGGGCTTCGGTCCCGGCGCCGCTGCTGGCGACGCGTATACACGTTCCTCCTGTCTGATTTAGCCCTTCCTTCCTTTTCTCTCTTTCTCCTCATCGCCTGACTCAGTGCCGGCCCGACGTGGCGTCCCTTAACCCAAACCATTATCCGTGTACCGCACGATTATAGGGCAACGGGACCGACAAATAGTCGCAGGCTACGTCCATAGGCGCCAGCGCGAAGGGACTCGTTTTCTCTCCGAGGGCGTTTTTTTCATTACCGCTGACGAACACGCGCTTGTCTGTCAGAAACGCGGGGCGCCGGCTGGAGGAAAAATGACGCGTCTGGAAGTTTCTTCAGGGAAACCGGAAAATGTTGGCGCGTCGAAGAATCGTTCACGATTAACAATAGTTAATCGTAATCTACCCAAGGAGAAGTGAAAAGTCGCAACTTGATGTCATTTCGCCCAATTTATGCCACAGTTTGATCTTGACTTTACACTGCTCCTTGGATGAAAAAAATGATGAAAAAAATATTTTCGAAAATCGTAAACAAGGTACACGTACGTTCTTAATGTCTCTCGCATTTGTGTGCCGTTTTCTATAACATACTTGGCAAAAGAGTACCGTGCACGAGAAACGAATGAGCCTCGCGCCGTCGAATGAAGATTTTCCCCGCAGACGACTCCGCCTCCTCCCGAGAATACGACCTTTGACGCCCATGCGGAGCACCCCCGGCGGTGATCCCTCTCCGCCCTGTGGAGCCGAGGCACATGCGGTTCTTCGCTAAGCTAACGCAAATAAACCCACGTATACACTCGTGCATCGGTTAACTGTCCGCCTTGCCGGTGGAGATGCGCGATTCGAATACGAATCGAATCGGGTGAGATTCGAATTTTCACTTCTATCATTCGAATCTGAACTATCCGAAAACAATGTCGAATCTAGATGGCTCGAGTATCAATCGTAGACAAAAGTCCTCTATTATGAGATAGATTTCTAATACGAGACTCAAATGTAGTCGCAAATCTTTTTTCACGACGATCGCACGATCTAACAATGAATTTTCCACCAAACAGATTGCACTTCAAGAGCAATGAATTCATGGTGGAATCAACGGATGGTGTCTGTTAATTTAACAGAACACCGTTGTCTCGTAACAGGGAACTTTCCTCTATATTGTCAATTTTTAAGTCAGATTCCCGTTAATAAGCAAAGGAGGTGATGTTAATAGCTACATTCGGTACAACGATGGCTCACCGAACGCCTAAATAGAAATAGAATGCGATTAGTTAATCTTATCTTCAGGTCCAATCAATTACAGATTTGTCGCTCAACTGTTTCAGTCCCTGTGACATTTAGTTTTACACTACAAAAGTACGTTAAAGTGCATTTTACTAGTTTTGTGTTAAGGGGATGCTGGAGTGATTCTGCACCTTTGCACCTTTTGTGCTTAAAACTGTCTGTTTTGTGGAAACATTTGTGTAATATACAAATTAAATGGCTTAAGCGTTGTGTCCACGATCCGAGAACTGCAGTGTCAAAGTTCTAGTTTTGAAAAATGTGTAGCCGATCAACTTGCATCTCTTACAGAGGAGCTGCAAGTTGATTGGCTACGCATTTCTCGAAACTAAAACTTGGACCAAGTCCTAGCATCGTGGACACAGGCCTTTATGCACTGAAAAAAAATCTGACTGATTCAACCAGTCGTCTGTTAGAAAATGGACGAATCAGAATTCCTTTAGGATTTACCAGATTTGTAGTGAAGTCTAGCAAACTTCTGGTTGTGAAATATCTTTCGTGGTAAATCCTAAAGGAATTCTGGTAAGTCCTAAAGGAATTCCGATTCGTCCATTTTCTAACAGACGACTGGTTGAATCTATCAGATTTTTCTCTCACAATCAGTGCGTGCACAGATCGAACGCGGCTTGCTATTCCCGGCCAAATGAGAGAACAATGTGGCATCGCTGAAACTAAGTTTGCAAGCCTAATAAAAAAATAATAGCGAGCAATACGCACAAGCGGTGCACGTGGCACGTGTGTTGCTCTCTAGTACTTTTCCGAGAGCTCCCCAGATAAACGCGCGCCGCGGCATTCGCGGCTGGTCGCGACCTCCCCCCTGGGGCAGCAGGTGCAACGCGGGCAGGTGATGCAACGCCCACGCTCCGGAGGGACCGCCGATAAAGCAGCTCGCGCGCGATCTCCTCTCCTTTTACCTGGCCGTCTACTCGAGTTACCTCAGGCTGATCTCGTTCCGCGCGCGCCCGCGCGAGTCAACGCGCTCGGCACTCTCGGCGGACGTTATCGCGGACTACCGCGTGGCTCGCGCCGTCGTGCTCGGCGCCAACGATCTCCGGACGTAGTTGAGACGGAGCGGATTCGGTGGGAGCGCGTTACGTCACGTAACAACGGGAGGACGAGCCTCGCTGGTGCCGAAAACTACGAGGTTATTCCTCGGGCCGGGGGGTCACCGCTGCGCGCTACTCCCCGCGCCAAGTCGCGTAAGCGTAACGCGTGGCGTCGTGGCGTGGCGTGGCGGTGGCGACGACGACGACGTCTCGAGTGCGCCGCGAGGATGTACGTGGGCCGCGCACAGGCCCGCGCGTTCGCCCGCACTTAGTCCCACGAGCAGCAGAGCGGCGGGCGGACACGTCGCCGCGAGAGAGCGTAGTCGCGGTCGCGTACTCGTCGCGCCGGCTGCTTTTTTCCCCACGACGAGCCCACGCGGGGCCTACGCGCGGGAGCATGGACGAGGCGCCGACGGCGACGTACCTGGGCCTGGACCTGAGCACGCAGCAGGTAAACAGCGCGACGCGAAGGCGACGGGCGAGAGACACGCGGTAGAGTTGGAGCGCGTTATCGCACGTGGAGCTCGGTCGATCGCGCGACGTCGACGGTATTGACACAACAGTGCTGGGCTTTTATAATCTTCTCAAACGACACACGTCAAATTAATAAGAATGTCTATTATTAATATAGTTAAAATAATATTAATATAAAAATTATTAATATATAATTAAAAATATTAAATAAGAAATTCTTCAATGTCGCCAGCGATGATTAACAACGTCGGTGTTTTCTTCACCATATCCTGGCATTTTTAAATAATACAGAAAATTTGTTGCGAAAGGAAGTCCAGGTTCGAACCGAGGGGGAAACCGCTGACCAAAATCTTGCACGCCAATGCCCACAGATGCTCAGCGGGCATTACTTTATTTTATATCTTATTTTATTTTATCCTTATAATGCCCCAAAAATGCCTAGTAATGCCCAGTAATGCCGCAAATCTGTACACCACAATGCCCTCGGCGGTTTCCCCCCTCGGTTCAAAGCCTGACTGAGGTAATATTTTTCGCCATAAATTTTCTGTATTATTAAAAATGCCGGATATGGTCGAGAAAACACTGACGTTATTTCTTCAAATTATTTCATAAATGTTACAAAAAGTAACGTTTTTATCTCAATGTTTTTCACTATAATTAAAATACCGCTTTCGTACAAGACACTTCGACGCGGCTTAACATATGGTTTCATGACATAATGCCCGTTTCTATCCCAGTGCAGATTAACTTTAACCTCGGTTTAAATCACTTCTTATCTTTTTCTAATTTGTAAAACTGGAACTACAGCCGAACCGAGATCGAAGTTAAACCGCGTTGGCAAAATCGGGCGTAAAACGTGTACGTATTTTTGCAGGTTTTACACGTCATTGGAAAACATATCGGCCGAGCTTTTTTTAACCGTAAATGGTCTGCTCAATCACAGGCATTCCTCGTCCATAGCGGTGATCCGTATTATAGCGGTGTCGTTCGTTCTTGCCTACTTTTTTTTCAGAGAGATATAACACCGGAATCCGCACGAACGAAATGACATTTCGTCCCGGGAAGAAGCTTCGATGCTGCGACACAGTCGCGGAAACGGTCGTTCCTATTCACGAGGGAGAAGATAATATTTCTTTCTCTGTGCTTGTAGCCGGAAAATTCGAGTCACCGAGGTCACATTTGTTCCGTAAAGATGTAATTATCCGTGAAAAGGAGCTCGGAAGAATTTCCCCACTCAGGCTCGCGATATCCTGAGGGAGAGACCGCTGAGGGTATTGTGGTGTACAGGTTTGCGGCATTACTGGGCATTGTTAGGCCTTACTAGGCATTTTTGGGCATTAGTTTGGGCATTAGGCCTTGCTGGAGCATTATAAAGATAAAATAAGATAATAAGATAAAGTAATGCCCACTGGACATTAGTGGGCATTGGTGTACAAGATTTTGGTCAGCGGTTTCCCCCTCGGAAAATTTAGTGCGAAAAATATTCTGTATTAAAACACTGGCTGGTTAATGTCGACTAAACGATTGATTATTGTTATCTGTTACTGGCAACTTAAAGAGACTTCTGTGTCTCATAAAGTTCTTCAAAATGCCATGTTGTCCCGCGATCACATGATTTTCAGGGTAAACTTTAAGAGAAAATTCTCGCCGTGTAAGAGCGTACTCCGATCAAACTTATGAATTTTACAACTGCAGCAACGGAGCCTTTTTCCGCTTCATTCGCAGCCATTCTGTTCCGCGATTACGTGCCCCGAATACGCGGATACGCGCGCGGGTACAAAACTCGCTCTCTCTAAGAACGGAAATCGCGCCGTGGGATGTTCCCGGGAAACGCGCGGCGGCGCCTCAAAACGCGCTAATTGTGCTAATTACCGGAAATCGCGCAGTAACGTGAGCGTAACTTGAGCGCGAGCGCCTTCGGAGATGCGTTCGTGTTTTACGACCAGCGTAATTCGACTTCTTATAGCGCTAAGGCTTGTGCACAGTCAATTCTTGTATATTCAAGGATCGTCTTAAATGCTCTTTGAAATACTCCTTAGCCAGAAAAATGATCTGCCTAGCATGGATCTTTTTCTCTTTTTTTTGGCTAAACAGTTTTTGGACACGAGTGGCAAGCGTGGGCGCAGAGAAATGTGCGCTGCCTACAATTAGTGAACAAATGAACGAGAAGATCCGAGTTCAAATCCACCCACGGGTACCGCTGGGTTTTTTTTTGTTTCTTGGACGCTACCTCTCTCTCTCTTTCGGAGAGAAGTGGCGGCTAACGAGAGTATCCTGCCACGCATATCCCTGCCCGCCGAAAAGGGGGTTGGCGAGAGGCTAACAACCCCTCACCGTAAAAATTCACTGTTGCGAATACACGCAACGAGCCTCGGACGGTGGCGATTTGTTGTGAAGGCCAGGGCCCCACTTGGGGCTGTAGAGCCGGTTATGATGACGACGAGGTTTTCGGACACGTACTCGAGATGACCATAAATACAAGAGTAGACTCTGAACGAGCCTTGGTGTGCGCACCATAGGCACAATGTATTGTGTCTACGGTGCACACTGGTGCGCATTCAGCGCGCACTAGTGCAAGCTGCCGAATTCGCTATTATTAAATTCCTCCGTTAACCGCCAGGCGATTCAATTATTATTAACGCTGGTCACTTTGTCGTCTCAATGCCCCCGTTCACTTGGCGAGTGATAACCTTACGAAGTGTGTTTACGAGTTCCATTAGCGGCGAATAGAGATGACCCGGGAGGGAGGAGGGGGGAAGGGGAGGTTTACTCGACGCCCGTGTCACGCGTCTCGAAGTATGTCAATACGACGGCTGTTTCGCAAGGTATTCTACGCAGGAAACACGCGAGCGCGAGTCGGGAGAGACGTCGCGAGGCGCTCTGACGTCTCCAGGGGGTCACTATTATCTAATAGCGCCGATAACACGAGCTTGTGCCGGTGCAGATAAGGCGCATGGAGGAAAGACGAAAGTAATCTGCGAAAAATGCGGGCGAGATAGAAGTGTTACGGCCGATAATTAACGTCGCGGGGCGCTGCGGCGTAAAACAAAAAAAAATCCGCACACGCCGCGCCGGCGATAATATTGAGTCGTTCCCATAAATCATAAAAGAGAGCTTGATTTGTTATCGAGCTCGAAACTGAGAGACTTTCGTCGCTGGGGCATTAAAGGTCCACGATTAGGACGGGAAGCAGCTGTGAATACAATAATAACGGAAAATTTGGATTAAAAGTAAAGTGTCCAATTTTGTTAAAAAATATCTCTAAAATTTGCGCACGTATCGACACATTTGTACATTTTGCATATACATACATGGAAAATGTATATGTGTTCCACCTGTGCCTAAATTCACACGGGAAGGCATCAGTTGGTATATTGTCGCGGTTTGCCCGAAAGTACGATCGCGCGAGGGTTACTTGAGAGATCGCTAGCGACGCTGGGCCCGCGGATCCAGACTAATCGATCCCGATCTGATTTCAGCTGAAGGCGGTGGTGGTGGATGACAATCTGGCCGTCCTCCACGAGACCAGCGTGCAATTCGACAATGATCTACCGGAATTTAGGTACACGATCGAAGCGACTCCCCCACAGAATGTAATTTCGCGTTTTGTCCGGTGGTCATAATTGAATCAGTTGCTCCTTCCGCTGGACAAAATTATTTTCATTTATATTATGAATGATACTAGCGGGGATTATTATCGCTGTCTGTTTATTGAGATCTTATCCCGAGTAAAGCGTGACGGAAAGCATTTGCGGTATCTAGCAACATATATGTTAAAGTTTATAATAAATATAAACGCGAGTTAAATTCCAACGTTCGCAGAACTTACGGAGGGGTCATACGGAAGAAGGAAGAGCCGAGTGTCGTGGTGGTGCCTTCTCTGATGTGGGTTAAGGCCTTGGACATGATACTAGATAAACTACGCGTCTGCGGCGTCGACTTCAGCAAAGTAGCGGCGATTTCTGGCTGCGCGCAGGTAACGCGGCCGTAAAGTCAATCATTTTACGAGATACGCCGTAAAAACATACGTAAAGGGTAATAATTTGGTGATGCTTGTTTGTGCATTTTAATGGCGCGAGCAGCAACACGGCACGGTCTATTGGGGCAAAGGTAGCCGGGGTCGGCTACAGCGTTTGGATCCCATCAAATTTTTGCACGAGCAATTCGCCACGTCGTTCTCCGTGACTCACTCGCCCGTATGGATGGACTCCAGCACGACGAAAGAGTGTTGCGTTTTGGAGGAGATCGTGGGTGGCCCTCACGTAAGCATGACGCTTCCCCCTTGCGTTGTCTGTACGCAATAAGGATGGATTTATGTAATTCCCGCGCGAAAATACACATCCAAATATCTGGCGATATATGCTAAGGTTTACATGAATGCGTACGTTTATTGGCTAACATTAGCTCTCGCGAGGATTTGTTTCCGCGATGTGAAACATCCTAAACGGCTGACAGTTGTAACTATGCGAAAACGAGTTGGCCAAATATTTAAAGTAGCCGGCTTAGACTTTAGTATACACACACACACACCCACCCACCCACCGAGCCGAAGTCGATGGCGTTTAAATCCACGGCGGCGCTGTGATTTCAGAAATTAGCGGAAATAACGGGTTCACGGGCGTACGAGAGATTCTCGGGACCGCAGATAGCGAAAATAGCACGCACGAAGCCGGATGCCTACTGCGGCACTGAGGTATTACCTACTAAAAACTCGTGGCTTCCTTCGAAAAAATGAAAACGGCAATCCGACCGAGGTATCCGTTACGTATGGCTATACTGATTGAACTTTAGTGCAGTTGTACATTTATGAGTGTGTTATTTTATGAGTGTGTTAGTTGGTGCTGACTGGCAAGTGTACTAATGCATAACAGTTGATATTGAGTTTTCATTGACTCGCGTTCTTACGATTAATTACGTTCCCATTTCTTTTTGATACTTCGTCTGACAGGAGTATACGATCTAAAAAATTTCTGCGACGTAACCGCGGTGTGATTTAACGCTCTAATTATATCACGATGATCGAAGCTGTGCGTCATACGCTTTTTGCCGCTTCCAAGAGGCGTCTAAGCCGAATGTTATTATTTACGCGTGTCCCGTTCTCTTTCTCTCCAGAGGATCTCGTTGGTGAGCAGCTTTATCGCCTCCTTATTCGTGGGCGATTACGCGCCTATCGATTGGTCGGATGGCTCGGGTATGAATCTCTTGAATATCCGTACGAAAGACTGGGACGATATGCTGTTGGAGGTAAAGTAGCATTGTTTACGTATATTTAATATCTGCTCGCTATTTAATGTACATATTTAATAGACCTGCGCATCAGGGCTGAGAGAAAAACTGGGTAAGCCTGTTTCGTCGTACAGCGACATCGGTCCTGTCTCGCCTTATTTCGTGGAAAGATTTGGTTTCAACGAGGAATGCAGGATAATCGCATTCACGGGGGACAATCCCGGCTCCTTAGTAGGTATGCTCTGTTACTCGCGCGCTCATCCACGAATTCCCTCGTGATAATAATAATCTCTTGTACTCACGACAAGAATGACACGTAGGTATGAGGCTAAAAGAAGGTGATATCGCTTGCAGTTTGGGCACAAGCGATACCCTATTTCTGTGGTTGAACGAACCCACGACTATAACGGACGGCCACGTGTTGTGCAATCCAGTGGACGAGCAGACTTACATGGCGTTACTTTGGTAAGCGTTTTCTATCGCGATTATTATAATGACAATATAAAAGCGATGACGATAACATTGCAGCTTCAAAAATGGTTCCTTGACGCGCGAGAGGATACGGAACGATGCCGCGCAAGGTAGCTGGCAGATATTCAACGAGTTATTAGAAAGTACACCACGAGGAAATTTCGGCAATTTTGCCTTGTATTTCGACACGCAAGAGATTCTACCTTTCGTCACTGGAGATTACAGATACAACAAGGCCAACGACGAGATCTCTCGATACAGTTCGAAGGAAGTGGAGGTGAGAGCGCTGATCGAAGGTCAATTTGTCGCAAAGAGAGCGTACGCTGAGGATTTAGGATTTGTCATCGGTAAGTAATTCGTTGCAAGTTTCTCTCTTACGAGATCTCATCTCGCATGAACTTCTCCGATAACTTTTCTTCATTTTATGAAGGACCTAACACTCGGATAATTGCAACGGGAGGCGCGTCTATAAATAAAGCTATACTGCAAGTGCTGGCCGACGTGTTTAATTCGCCAGTGTATATCTCTGTAACTATGTTGCGATAATATTACTTATTATTATTCATGTTCAATACATGTAAACGTATTTCATACCTTTATAATTTTTGTTCGACAGGAAGCAGCTAATTCGGCTATGATGGGCGCGGCCTATCAAGCGAAACATGGTTTACTGAGAAATAATTACAGCTTCGATGAAATTACACGCTGCTTGCCAGACTTAACGTTGGTATGCCAGCCTTACGATGACGCTGAATCGGTAAGTGAAATGAGCTTTTGAATATCTTATTATCGTAATTGATTATATTAATTTTTTTTAGATTTACAAACCCATGACTGCGCGCTATCGCAAAATTATGGATCAGATATTGAAGAAGAGGAGCGAACAGAAGCACATGTAAATCTTGTATATACATATAACAAAATGTTTGAAAACGGGCCTCTCACGCGCGATGTTTTTCAAGGCAAGTATAAAGTGATAGATTGAGCTTTTTGAAAGAATTTTTCTATACATCTTTTTAAATTATTTAGAATATTGAAACTTTGTACAATGTACATTATATTGTATTTTAAACAAGCTCTTAATGGACGGGTGAGAATCTCTCGTACAATATTTTGTACGAATATGTAAAAAATTGTCGTACCTTCTCAGCTTTAATTGTAAATAATTGTGCGTTAAAATTTTTTTTAAAGTTTTAAAAATAAAATGATTCTAATATATAAAATAATTGTAAGAAATAAGTCATGACGATCACTATTTGAATTTTGTAATTGTAACGAAATCGTGTCAACCAAATTCGAAATAAATTATTTTTATTTGTTACTATTAAATATAACTAAAGCAAATACGCACAATGCAAAAGCAATCAAGCCTGAGTTACCACGAAAAAAAAATCATTTAATATATTAAAATATTATAATTGTTACACGTTATTATACGAATAAATGCAGTATATATTTTCATGTTATTTTAAAATAATTACAGCAATAAAACTATTAAGGTATTGACATAACTTATAAATAATTAGAGTAATATATTTTTAATTTATATTTTTATTCGTAATTTTTATTTACTTCTTTCTACCGCCTCTCTCCTTTGGTAGTAAGTTAATAACATTACCTGAAGTTAAATTGTAATATGCAAGAGTATTGCTATCCTTGAAGAACATTCCCTGGAAGTAGAAATTACATTTATAAAATATTACTTTCATAATCCGAGAAAACTTATTTCACGATCCTTACCTCATACTGTAACTTTTGTTTCCCAGGTGGCATGCCAGTTTGTTCGTGGATAAGTGCTTTCATAGTTGCTACAGTATCGCTTGTTTGTAAAGTAATATTCAATGTCTGTCCGTTCAATTTCCATTCAGCTTTCTCCGTCATCATAGGCACAGCGATGTTAACTTGTACGGGACCCTGCACAAAAAAGGATTATATTCCCTCTAGCGGTTTAGTCATGATTTGAGCTTTTCTGTAAAATAAGACATCAATCTCTTTACCTTATTTCTAGCAAGGAATTGTTGCTCCGGAATTAACGAGTCCTCTGTTCTCAGTTTCTTAGCCTGCAGTTCGTCTTCCAATGGCTTACTAGCAGGATGCTTCATCCCGATCTTCAAAATTGGGAAAAAAAATTATGATAAATTGAATTTTTAAGTATAAAGCAATAAATAATTGGCACAGTTCGTATTTTATAACAAATTACTTACACCGGACGTCATCGGCGGCTGAATTGGCGGTGGCGTTGGCATGAACGGTGACATCGCCGGAGCTGCAACAAATTAATTGATTTCGATTAGTTTTACCTACAAAGATGTCACAATATGTATATTTTTCAAGATGTGGTTTTGTGGAAACAATTTCGTACTCATCAGAGGCGGTGGTCGAGGTGCCATAGGTGGCATAGGTGCCATCATCATCATCGGTGGCTGCGGCATCATCGGTTGAGGTATACCCATAGTAGGCATACTCATGGTTGGTGGTGGAGGAGGTTGAGTAGGTACTTGTATAGGTTTCGGTGCAGGCGGTTTTGGAGGTGCTTTCAATGTAGCTTGCGGCTTCGAGGCGACAGCAGCCATGTGAGAAAGTTCGCTCGCACGATTCACTGGTTTCGGGCCGATCTTCTCCTTCTCCTCATCAGGCAAAAGACCCTTGACCTTGTGTATCTGATGAATCTGTTCTTCCAGCGTAATATTAGCTCGGGCTGCTCTCGTCGCTGCTTCCACACTGGAGGTGTGACCGTCCCATGTGACTTTGTCATCTTTTTTCTTGTCCTCTTCACCAATCTTTTTGCCAATCGCTGTCTCTTCGTCGCCCACGCCGAATATATCAGTACGTCTTTCAGCGAGTTGCTTGAGACTTGCCTCGATCGCCGTGCCCGGCGCGAATACAGTCTCCTGCGCCAGTTTGTCTAGATGCTTGTCTCTCTGCTCGACCCAGCGTGGATCCAACAATCCGATACGCATGTGTTCTTGCACCTTACTGGCGGGAATACGTTCGCCAGTAATCGGCGAAATCAGGTATTCATCCGGAGCCGCAGGGCGAGTAGTTTTAGGCGCTGTAAAAAAAATTGAGAGTAAAATACCGGTGTATCATAATAGAATAACCAGTAACTTTAACCGATGATTAGAAAAAAAAACCGCTTACCATGTTGCTTCGGGTCATATCCTTTCTTGACTACCACGTTTCCTGGTGTAGGCGGCAACGGCGGCGGTTGCATGTTCGTTTCCCGCAGCTTGGGCTCTTTAGATCTGTGAGTGTCACCCGGTGGAGACACATCATCCTCATCGCTAGAATCTTCCTCCATATCTTGCACCTGGAAAGATTAAGTTTCACATTGCAATACAAACATTCATATCAAATCGATATTGTGCGCAACAGATAACGGCATACACTTACTTGATTATTATCTTTCGCACGATCACCTTTCTCGCCGTCTGCACGAGTTTGCGCCTCATCCTCCGCGTCACTGTCGATTTGCATCTCCACGTCTTCACCATCCTCTATACGTTCCTATAAATATTTTTAACCGATGTATTTCACTTAACTACCATACGACACAGTATTTTGATCGACGAAATAAAATTTTTAACAGTACAAAAAAAAGAGAGATCAAACCTGCATGAGGACGCGTGCGCCAACCTCGTCGGGCGTAGTCGGCGCTGGGAAATTACCGACTTCAAATTGTTGATAGTCCACAGTCTCAACTACGACAAAGTCATGCCAGTCAATCTGCGCGTAGGCGACCCTCTCCCTTTCCAATTCCTCCTCCTCCTTACGCCTCTGTGCCTCCTGATACTTCAAGTACTCGGCGCGGTATTTTACTTGCTCCAAAATCTTATCCATATTGAACGCTTCATTCTTGAGACGGGGCAACAAATCTTTCGGTGGAATCAATACCTACAAAGGCATAGAGTGCATTAGAATCTCTTGCTCTCTTCAAACAAGTTTATATCGATTCTGAAACGGGATCGCTGTTTTTCATCTACCTTGGTGTACTGCTCCAAGAGCTTAGTGAAGTACTGAAATAAGGAATGCTGAGGGCGTAGAAAATCAAACTGGAAATTCCTTTGCTCGCGATTCATCAAGTTGGTCAAGAACTGTCTTCCATTACGCGCGACAAATTGAGCGGTCAGCTTCACGATGTCTCTGAAAGGGAAGTTGTACTTTGCTTATTAAAATGTAAAATATTAGTTAGCTACGCATAAAGATTACTACATACAGATCTAAGGCGGATATAGACGGAGGATCCGCGATAAATTCAAACTCGGTCGGCGGATCCTTGGGTACAAACGGTTGCTCGACTTGCTTGAGTATTTCCTGCTGCTTTTGGTGCGCAGTGAGATTGACAGTCTTCCCGGGGGCCGAGCCTACCGTGGGCTCCTGGCCTTTCCCCTCCTTGAATTCCTTTACCTTGTGCTGATAGTAAGCGTGATATGGATCGCCGAAGTTCAAGAAATTGAACTTTGGATTGCCCAGTTCGTTCTGCCTGATCCTGGACTCGAATTCCGGCCCGTTCCTGGCCACGAAGCTGGCGGTCTTGTCAACGATATCTGAATTTCTGCATAAGGAAGAACAGATAAACTGGGACTGTTGCACGCCGGATGTCGCACCAAGCTCGGTTGGCGTATCGCGTATACGAGATACACGTGTTGCACACAAAATGCAACGCGTGTCGCACATAAAATACACTTCCCACGGCCGTTCTCTTCGCAGCCTGAACATTCGTTGGACGCATTACGTGTTTGGCAAAGGATACTCCTAACCTCAGGCGGCGGATAAATGATGCCCACGATCGGCTGCGACGAGGGAACGTTGTTCTCCTCGCCCTCGGTGGCCGGCGGCTGCGGCACCGCCACTTCTTGCGCAGGCATTTTGCAATCGGTGTATTTGCAACACAATAAGTATCAACTATTGTGTATCAGTACGTCTTCACGCTGCTTCACGCTACGGAAGAATCGCCGGAGAGTAGTGTTGTTATTTCGAGTTTCGACTGCGACGCCATTTTCGTTTCATGGATCTCGGTGACGGTCGATGAAACAGGATCGATAAAATAGGCATCTGTTTGGCAAAGGTGAATTTCAGGGGATAAAATCAGACCATTCACTCACACTTGACCGGAAATGAACGTTTTTTTTTAAAAATAGTTTCTATACGCAATTTGCACTCGGTGTTGCTTGTAAGTTTATTAGATGGTACGAATTTTAATCGACAGAAATCGCCGATGTATAAATGTCTAACTGTCGATGGGTAAATATTACAATATAATTGAGCACGGACAAGATTAATTGACATTTAAATCTTCAATTAAACGTGTCGCGATGAAATTCGACTCGAAAGTTCTGCGTTCTGGCCAGCACTCGTATGATTCCGTTAATAAAAGAAACGTTTTAAGACTATACATTTCCGTTAATAAACGAAAAACTTGAAAATTATACATTTTAACGTCGACACCGTACAATAAACGCAACTGAGTTAACGGTTAATCGAGACACAATCGTCCGAAAATAATTAAAAATTCAATGTCGCGTGTGTATTTTTAATCATAAATTCCGTAAAAAATAACTAGTAGTATTAATAAATCATCGACAAATGTTAGTTAAAGCACTCGATTCAATGTTTCGTGTATTACTTCGCGCTTTCAACTTAGAAAAAGCCAACAAATTATACTCGAGGCGACGAGAGATTCAATGCGACGCTACGAGATGTGTCCGAATACGAGCATCGTTTAATTAAAGAAACAATATCGTCCGTAATTATCGCAATAAAGAAGTAATTTCAAGTCAGCTAGCGCTTTGATTTTTGGACGTACAGATCTCATATATGAACCGCGCGAAATATCTGTTTCGAAAGTTAACCGAGCATCGATGGCAAATCGCGAGGATTCAGCGATCACATGATATCGATTGCTCGATTATTCGCAGAGACCGATCGCGGTTTCTTCCCGACCTTGTGGCGAACACGTGAACGATCTTTCGCGTACGGCGTGACTGCCGTGACGTATTGTTTTGCCGAGCGCCGA